AGGAGAAACTTCCTGACAGTTAGAACAATTAACCAGTGGAACAACCTGCCTCCAGAAGCGGTGAATGCTCCAACACTGGAAGTTTTTAAGAAGAGACTGGACAGCCATTTGTCCGAAATGGTATAGGGTTTCCTGCCTGAGCAGGGGGTTGGACTAGATGACCTCCAAGGTCCCTTCCAACTTTATCATTATTATTATGATGAAGGCTGAGTTGCCTGTATGAAGCTGTAGATCAGGGGTCCTCAACCTTGGCAACTTTAAGCCTTGTGGACTTCAACTCCCAGAATTCCTCAGCCAGCAAAGCTGGCTGAGGCATTCTGGGAGTTGAAGTCCACAAGGCTTAAAGTTGCCAAGGTTGAGGACCCCTGCTGTAGATGATAATTCTGTGGCCTCCGTTAGAGGCATGAGAGCAAAGAAGGAAGGACAACTGATCCACGGTTCTTTTATCTGGACATCCTTTCTGGCTACTTCTAGATCAATTGGACTGGAGGACGATGGAGGTTATTCTGAACAGTTGGCGGACACTGTTCAAAAAAAGCTGTCCTATTGTCTTCAGCAGCTTCTCTGCAAAGACACAAGCGTCTCAGGGAATAGCCCTAACCCCACCAAACTGAGAAATTGCTAAAGATATCTATAGCAGTGGTAGTGAACCTATGGCACGGGTGCCAGAGGCGGCACTCAGAGCCCTCTCTGTGGGCACGCGCGCCGTCGCCCCAGTCCTAGGCCTTCAGCTGGGTTTTATAAAACCTTTTCGCTTTAGGCCTCTGCTGCCGTGTGCAAAAAAACAACAAAAAAAGGGTCAATCAATCAGTCAATTTCAACTTCTCGCGGGGAAAAAAAAGTTCTTGCAAAGTTGGAATTGATTGATTGAACTTTTTAGTCCCACCCAGTCTGCCATTACCACCGCAGCCACGCCCACCCAATGGGCCACACCCACCCGGCACCCGATGATGCATAAGTGGGTTTTGCGTTGCAGTTTGGGCACTCGGACTCTAAAAGGTTCGCCATCACTGATCTATAGGGTGAGCCTTGAATATTTTCCCTTAAACCAGGGACCACCTGGCATTACCGTTTCTGCCAGCCCTGTTGTTTAATTTGCTCATGAACCATATGATACATTCCTTAGCTTGATGACCTTGTTTCTCCCATTTTTCTCCCCCTTTTATCACGTTTAACCTACTTTTATCCTTGGTTTTAAGGTTCAGGAAGCTCTGGTTGGTTGGCACTGGGAAATATTGTTATGAGAGTAATTTTAAAACTGCAGGATTAGTACTGCAATGTTTTCCTCAACTTCCCTTTTTTTTTTCTCCTCAAGCAGAGGGGAAACTGTTGTTTCTGTCTGTCAGTGCTATCTTTTACTGTCCATGTAGCTACACAACATTTCTGCTCCTTTTTGGCGTGGCTACAGACATTATAAAAATTAATGTGATACAGCAGTATAAGTAATTGTCGACTTATGACAGGTTGCTTTGCAACTGTTTGAAGTTACGACAGGCCTCCCTGGGGCTGCTTACAATCCAAAGTCAAAATTCTGACAACCAGGCCCTCCCATGGTCACATTTGGCCTGCATTTAGGGCTGTTTGCAGCATTGCGCAGTCACATGACCACGATTTACAATGGTGTTTTTTTTGGTCAGAAACCAGCTTTTCCTTCAAGTTTCCAGCAAAAAGCACCTATTGTGGAAAATGCTTAATGATTGTCATGTTCACTGAACAACCACAGTGATTGACTTCATGACCACCACAAAAAAAGGTTATAAAATTGGGCGAGGTCATGTGATGACCTGCTTAACGACCAGCGTTACTTTACAGGGGTAGTCAACCTTGGCTCTTTTATGACTCGTGGACTTCAACTCCCAGAATTCCTGAGCCAGCTGTGCTGGCTCAGGAATTCTGGGAGTTGAAGTCCACAAGTCATAAAAGAGCCAAGGTTGACTACCCCTGCTTTAACAACCATAATTTTGGGCTCAGTTATGATCGTAAGTTGAGGATACCTGTAGAAATGGAGAGAAGAGAAAAACTATGGATAAATTGCAGGATTAATTGCTGGGCAAAGCAGCTTCTGAGATTAAGCATAATCAAAACACTGTTGTGCCCATAGGAGAAAAGTGTTTTAAACAAGAGGATAGTGTGCTGCATTTATTAACAGGTGCCCACCAAGCTACATTGGAATTGGAGGACGTAGGCTTGCCTCCGAAACAGTGTAGTGTGCCCAAAAGATTGTGCAGAATATATGTTTGCTTCTTGTGGAGAACTTGCGTACCTTTAAACACAATTAAAGATCCGAACATTACAGAAATGTTAATTAAAGATCTGAACATTATAGAATGTTCTGTAGTGAGGAGCGAGAAAAAAAATTAAGTGATCTGCGACTGGCTGAAAATAGAAAGAGACAGGGACCATTTGTAACAATGAGCGTGCGAGTGAACAAGAACAGACCTCTAAAAAAAAATAGATTAAAGAAATTACTGGAGTGTGGCACTTTGGGAATGAGGGCTCACAGTGGACGTTAAAACAAGTTAGTGTTAAATGCCCGATTCTTATTACTTTTTGTGCGGGTCTGTTGGTGTGTAGCTGGAGAAGCTGAAGGTCAGCAAGAACAAGCAGCACTGCGCTCGGGATTCCAGTAAAGCGGATGAAGACAAGAAGGCGAACCAGGGCGGTCTGAAGAGAAAGCCCAGTGGGCAGGGTAAGAAGAGCCTTCAGCTTCTGAGAGACATGCAAAGTATACAGTCCTCCCTTCAGAAGGATGACGTCAGTTGGGACTGCTGACCTGTCTTCCCCGCGTGGTGGTTGGTTTTTGAGGGGTTTGTACCTTTTATTATTCTGGCTGCAGTGGCACAACCAGCTACCGTGCTGGATGAAAGACAATATCAGAGTGGCACCTTCTAAACAAAGGCTTCTCCTATTCTACCTGTATGCCTGATCATGTTACCCTGGTGAGGGGAGCTGGGGATGGGTAGAGAGAGAGAGAGGAAAAAAATAAGCCGCCCTTTATTATTTCATTGCTAAACCTCACATTGGTACCAGTGATGGTTATTCTGCTACAAAACGTAATCCTTGCCCTACCGTTCTGCTTCTGACAGTTAATTATCCTCCTTGCTTGGGACAGCTTCCTTCTATGAGTGGAGAAAGTAGGTTTTTATTTTTATTTTTTTTAAAAAAAAAATTCATTCGGAGAGTTGAAGGTCCACAGGGAAAAAGCCTCAGAATTAAATTTGTTTTGCAGAATTTTTTTTTGACTTTGCTTTATAAACACACAGTGACTTTTGAACGGAGCAACGGTATGGAGCCCTGTGTCACTTTCGACTCTTTTCAAGGTCTCGTAAGCAGCTTTTTCTTTTAAAAGAATCAGCTCTTCCTTCTCAGCGTGGCCAACTCACGTTTTGATGTTTGAGCAAAGATGCTCCTGTTTTGAAATATGGAAATTATGCACAGAGGTGAGAAGGTTTTCTTTGGCATTCAATTAAACACCATTAAAAAACACCCCAAATTTTATATCCATTTTAGCCATGGAATTGACGTGATGTGGTTTCGGAACGAAACTGAATTGCCAAGTTAATTTTATCTCATTTCTACTGTTTTTCTGAAAAGCAGGAGATTAATATATATGTATTTTTGCCCCCCAAAATAAATGGTGCCTTCGATCATGCTGTTTAATACTGGCAGGCAGCTTTTTAAAAACGAATATTCCCTAGACTAGAAGATCTGGTGGTGGTTCTGGTACTAGGCAATTTTAATGTACATGCAACAATATTATTTATTATATTAATAATGTAAAGGCTTTCCGAAGTTTGGACTGTAGTAGTAACTCAAAATGGCTTGTGCTTTTTTGAGATCATATTTGGACTGCAATAAAGGCAAATGGAATAAATTAACTTGCGAAAGCCAGTTGGCTCGTTGATCTCCCACTTTCCATGAACGGCTGGACTCCAGGAACAGATCTGTGCAATCCACACACAAAGCAGGTGTAGCATCATTAGTTGACATTTTGCCTTGGTGACAGATGGCCCATTGCTGGCTGAAATCAGAATGGACACCTGGCAAACTAGCTGGTGGGCGCGCAGCCTCTTTCCCTCTCCCGCTGAAGCAGAAGGAGGAGCAGGCCTACTCAACGCCAGTCTTAATCCCTCGCTTTCTTTTTTGCAAACAGAGACCAAATAGAAGGAACGAGATAGAATAATCCTTTGCCGGGCTCGAAGCAAAACATAATATTATAAGGGGTCAAGATTGAAAACTGGCAAACTGGGAGGTGGGCGGTGACTTTTGGGTCGATATCCCGATTCTGCTTTAGGCTGCAATAAAAGGAGAAGTATAAAAGGGGCTGGTGTTAGATGTAGGGATGCTTTTAAAGCGGATTGGAAGAAACAGCAACTCAGCCTCTGGGGGCTTCCGTGCGAGAGAAAAGCGGGAAGGAAAGAGCAATAGCAATAGCAGTTAGACCAGGGGTAGTCAACCTGGGCTCTTTTATGACTCGTGGACTTCAACTCCCAGAATTCCTGAGCCAGCTAAGCTGGCTCAGGAATTCTGGGAGTTGANCGTCCCAAGGAGACCTTTCTGAGGTGCTTCTGACATTACAAGATGAGCTCGGGCAAATGAGTTTGTGAGTCAAAACTCTTGTGCAAATGTTCACCTTGTGATCTTTTTCTGACCATACCTGTATTTATTAGACGGTGGTCCAGCAAGCACGTAAACCACTTCAAAAGCTCTTTGCAATTATATATATATATATTGGGGGCGGGAGGGGCGGGTTGGGTTTGGAAAGACGTCTGGCCGTGCTTTTCATCCAAAAGGCATGGATGGGATACTGATAATATGGGTAGTCCTCAATTTACGACCCTACTATAATCTGCCTTGTGGAAACTTACTTGACGAGGTTTCATAGAAGGAATGGATGGATTCCAAGTAGTTCAGCAGCACTTGAAACCCGATGGACCCTGTCAAGCAATGTGCAAGTTTTATAGAGATATGTGAAGTTTACCCATGTGATCAAATTTACCAAATCATTTAGGCCAGGGGTCCCCAAACCTTTTGGCACCAGAGACTGGCTACATGGAAGATCATTTTTCCATGGACCGAGGGGGGAAGAGGTGCACGCAACCTAGGTCCCTTGCATGCGCGGTTTACAGTAGGGTTCACGCTCTTATGAGTATCTAATGCCTGATGATTTGAGGTGGAGCTGAGGTGGTGAGCAGCTGCAAATATAGATGAAGCTTCACTCGCTCACTAGTCGCTCACCTCCACCTATGCAGCTTAATCCTTACAGTACGTGGACCGTTATGGCCCATGGCCCGGGGGTTGGGGACCCCTTATTTAGACAACTTCTGTGCCTCCCTTCTGTTACCAGGTAAAACCTCAACTGTTATGCACCTTGTAGCCAAATTCTGTGCCGTAGATATAAGGCCCGATGTGAGATAATGCGGGCTCTTTGTAACATTTTTTTTTTAAATCAGTGAATCTGGTTGCAAAGTCAAATCAAATTGACTTTGATCTTGACGCTGTAGTGCTGCTTACAACTGTTTTTGTTTTTGATGTGATTTATTTTAATGTTGCTGGTCTTTGACTATGATCATTCGTTCAATAAAGAAGTGGGTTTTTTTCTCTAGGAGTTTGTTTGTTTTTTTAATTTCCTGTCTACTATACGGTTCTAGTGTTTCCTGGAGATTGTCCAAGTACTAACCTGACCCTGTAAACCAGTGTTTCTCAACCTTGACAATTTTAAGGCATGTGGACTTCAGCTCCCAGAATTCCACAGCCAGCATTGCTGGCTGTGGAATTCTGGGAGTTGAAGTCCACATGCCTTAAAATTGTCAAGGTTGAGAAACACTGCTGTAAACTTTTGAGTTCAGCCAAGGTGGGCCAGGTATTATCACTGAATTTAAAGGGACTTCCTTCCAGGTATAAATGTTTGGTAGTTACATATGTTAAATCTCTACTTTGAACAATGTTACAAGCTTTATCTGATTTAATTCCAAGTAGGCAATGATTTAAAATAATTTTTTTTGGCTGGGCTTTGTCCTTGCATTCTGTCTGGCAGCTTGCAAGCGATGTGGTTGATGATGTCATAAAATTACCGGAATCGGCATAGTATCTCAGGGATTGTTTGGTTTCCTTGATTTAAAATCAGAGTAGGCACCTTAGTAGTTCTGGAGTGAGAAACTGACACCACATTTCCCTTTATGCTAGCCTCCGTGGACTCTTTTTGGAGGTTACAGTGTTGGCAAATACTACAAAGTGATGTTGAATTAGGTGGGAAAAGAAGCAGTAAATCCTATTCCTTATTTGCTAATCTCTTACAAAATGTTGGACTCTTCTGACATGGGAGTGCTCCAAAACAATAGTAGGGATTGCTGTGTGGGGGGAAAAATGTATTGTTTCTATTAGCAAAGTGGGACTGCAATAATATGTATTAAAGAAATCCATCATCAGCTATTTTTTTAAACCTTGTTTTATTTGCCTCTTTGTTTTGCATACAAGCCAACACCAGCATTTGGCAAAACTCATCCATGAAGCTTCAACGATTGCCTTAAGGAGAGACTTGGAGAAGGATTTGGAAGTGCTTGTGAAAAGGATGGAAGCCAAGGCTGAACAAATCAGTAAAATCCAGAGGCATCGGGCACGGGTGAGTTATCCTGATAACTATTTTCAGTCCCCTGTGAAATCACTGGAAAGTCAATTTGATGTAGGGATTATGCTAGAAACTGAAAGACTGTGAGTTCTAGTCCTGCCTTAGGCCAGAAGCCAGGTGGGTGACCTTGGGCCAATCACCAGGTGACTGTGAGTTCTAGTCCTGCTGTAGGCATGAAGCCAGGTGGGTGACCTTGGGCCAATCACCAGGTGACTGTGAGTTCTAGTCCTGCCTTAGGCACGAAGCCAGCTGGGTGACCTTAGGCCAATCACCAGGTGACTGTGAGTTCTAGTCCTGCCTTAGGCATGAAGCCAGCTGGGTGACCTGGGGCCAATCACCAGGTGACTGAGTTTTAGTCCTGCCTTAGGCATGAAGCCAGGTGGGTGACCTTGGGCCAATCACCAGGTGACTGTGAGTTCTAGTCCTGCCTTAGGCATGAAGCCAGCCGGGTGACCTGGGGCCTGTCTCACTCTCTCAGCCTTAGGAAGGAGGAGGCAATGGCAAACGACTTCCTAAATTTTGCCAAGAGAACTGCAGGGACTAATCCAGGCAGTTGCTAGAAGTTAAGACTTATTTGAAAACACCCTCCCCACCCACCCACAGATGACAACAACTATAACAATGAAATCATTGCCCAGAATATCTTTATTATAAATATTAAGCAGAGAAGCATACAGTTTCATAACATACAGTAAATTACAGAGCCCAGTTGTGTAACAATTTCTAATTAAGTTAGGAAAAAAACTAAGTAAGATGAAATAGAAATTAAAAAATAAAATAAAATGAAAGTGCTAAAAGAATAAATATTTAAGGCTAATCATTGCATTATAAAACTGCCTTGTAAAGGCGTAAACGAAAACATAGTTATAAAATAGAGTAGTATAAAATGATATAAAAATTTAGACAGAGTTGCCAAATGACATTGTTAATTATTCCATCTGGTCAAGTTGAATAATAATTGCCCGGTTTCACTATCTAATTCATGTTGTTAAAAGCCCTGAAGCAGAATTTGTAGCTTTAAAAGGGGTATCATCATTACAGCCTGTCTCAAGAAATGAGATATAAGTAAGGTTAAAGATAACATGTTGAAATAGACTACGACCTATATCTTAGACTATTTTGCAGCAATAAGATGATCTAGGTCAGCGTTTCTCAACCGTGGCAACTTTTAAGACATGTGGACTTCAACTCCCAGAATTCCCTAGTCAGCCTATCTGGGGAATTCTGGGAGTTGAAGTCCACATGCCTTAAAATTACTGAGGTTGAGAAATGTTGACCTAGATCATCTTACTGCTGCAAAATGGTTCAGATATTTGGCTTTACCTCTTCTGAAAGCAAGGGAAGCTCCTACTAATTATGTCTCTGCAAATCAGTGGCCATTATTTGCTGCTCATCACCTTCTTTAGCTTTGGTAAAACCCAAAGAATGGAAGGCTCTGCAACCTTCTGGAATCCCGAATCTGGGTATGCGCCGATTGCAAACGCAGAAGACAGGCTTAGGATACAGGAGGACCTGGACAGACTTGAACACTGGGCGCTATCTAACAAAATGAAATTCAATGGTGAAAAAAGTAAGGTTCTACATTTAGGCAAGAAAAATCAAATGTACAGGTATAGTATAGGGGGTACCTTGCTCAATAGTAGTAACTGTGAGAGGGACCTCAGAGTCCTAGTGGATAATCACTTAAATATGAGCCAGCAGTGTGCTGCAGCTGCCAAAAAAGCCAACAAAGTGCTAGGCTGCATTAACAGAGGGATAGAATCAAGATCATGTAAAGTGTTAATACCACTTTACAATGCCTTGGTAAGGCCACACTTGGAATACTGCATCGAGTTTTGGTCACCACGATGTAAAAAAGATATTGAGACCCTAGAAAGAGTACAGAGAAGAGCAACAAAGATGATTAGGGGACTGGAGGCTAAAGCATATAAGGAACGGTTGCTGGAATTGGGTATGTCTACTCTAGTTTAATGAAGAGAAGGACGAGGGGGGACATGATAGCACTGTTCCAATATCTCAGGGGTTGCCACAAAGAAGAGGGAGTCAAGCTATTTTCCAAGGCGCCTGAAGGCAGGACAAGAAGCAACGGATGGAAACTAATCAAAGAGAGAAGCAACCTAGAACTAAGGAGAAACTTCCTGACAGTTAGAACAATTAACCAGTGGAACAACCTGCCTCCAGAAGTGGTGAATGCTCCAACACTGGAGGTTTTTAAGAAGAGACTGGACAGCCATTTGTCCGAAATGGTATAGGGTTTCCTGCCTGAGCAGGGGGTTGGACTAGAAGACCTCCAAGGTCCCTTCCAACTTTATCATTATTATTATTAACCAGAGGACTCCATGAAGGCTGAGCTGCCTGTATGAAGCTGTAGATCAGGGGTCCTCAACCTTGGCACCTTTAAGCCTTGTGGACTTCAACTCCCAGAATTCCTCAGCCAGCAAAGCTGGCTGAGGCATTCTGGGAGTTGAAGTCCACAAGGCTTAAAGTTGCCAAGGTTGAGGACCCCTGCTGTAGATGATAATTCTGTGGCCTCTGTTAGAGGCATGAGAGCAAAGAAGGAAGGACAACTGATCCACGGTTCTTTTATCTGGACATCCTTTCTGGCTACTTCTAGATCAATTGGACTGGAGGACGATGGAGGTTATTCTGAACAGTTGGCGGACACTGTTCAAAAAAGCTGTCCTGTTGTCTTCAGCAGCTTCTCTGCAAAGACACAAGCGTCTCAGGGAATAGACCTAACCCCACCAAACTGAGAAATTGCTAAAGATATCTATAGCAGTGGTAGCGAACCTATGGCACGGGTGCCAGAGGCGGCACTCAGAGCCCTCTCTGTGGGCACGCGCGCCGTCGCCCCAGTCCTAGGCCTTCAGCTGTGTTTTATCAAACCTTTTCACTTTAGGCCTCCGCCACCGTGTGCAAAAAAAAAAAAAAGGTTCAATCAATCAGTCAATTTCAACTTCTCGCGGGGAAAAAAAAGATCTTGCAAAGTTGGAATTGATTGATTGAACTTTTTAGTCCCACCCAGTCTGCCGTTACCACCGCAGCCACGCCCAGCCAATGGGCCACGCCCACCCAATGGGCCACACCCACCCGGCACCCGATGATGCATAAGTGGGTTTTGGGTTGCAGTTTGGGCACTCGGACTCTAAAAGGTTCGCCATCACTGATCTATATAGGGTGAGCCTTGAATATTTTCCCTTAAACCAGGGACCACCTGGCATTACCGTTTCTGCCAGCCCTGTTGTTTAATTTGCTCATGAACCATATGATACATTCCTTAGCTTGATGACCTTGTTTCTCCCATTTTTCTCCCCCTTTTATCACGTTAAAACCTACTTTTATCCTTGGTTTTAAGGTTCAGAAAGCTCTGGTTGGTTGGCACTGGGAAATATTGTTACGAGAGTAATTTTAAAGCTGCAGGATTAGTACCGCAATGTTTTCCCCAACTTCCCTATTTTTTTCTCCTCAAACAGAGGAGAAACTGTTGTTTCTGTCTGTCAGTGCTATCTTTTACTGTCCATGTAGCTACACAACATTTCTGCTCCTTTTTGGCGTGGCTACAGACATTATAAAAATTAATGTGATACAGCAGTATAAGTAATTGTCGACTTATGACAGGTTGCTTTGCAACTGTTTGAAGTTACGACAGGCCTCCCTGGGGCTGCTTACAATCCAAAGTCAAAATTCTGACAACCAGGCCCTCCCATGGTCACATTTGGCCTGCATTTAGGGCTGTTTGCAGCATTGCGCAGTCACATGACCACGATTTACAATGGGGTTTTTTGGGTCAGAAACCAGCTTTTACTTCAGGTTTCCAGCAAAAAGCACCTACTGTGGAAAATGCTTAATGATTGTCGCGTTCACTGAACAACCACAGTGATTCATTTAATGACCACCACAAAAAAAGGTTATAAAATCGGGCGAGGTCACGTGATGACCTGCTTAATGACCAGCGTTACTTTACAGGGGTAGTCAACCTTGGCTCTTTTATGACTCGTGGACTTCAACTCCCAGAATTCCTGAGCCAGCTGTGCTGGCTCAGGAATTCTGGGAGTTGAAGTCCACGAGTCATAAAAGAGCCAAGGTTGACTACCCCTGCTTTAACAACCATGATTTTGGGCTCAGTTATGATCGTAAGTTGAGGATACTTGTAGAAATGGAGAGAAGAGAAAAGCTATGGATAAATTGCAGGATTAATTGCTGGGCAAAGCAGCTTCTGAGATGCTGGATCAACAAGCCATCAACTTAAGCACAATCAAAACACTGTTTCGCCCATGTAAGAAATGTATTGTGTTTTAAACAAGAGGATAGTGTGCTACATTTATTAACAGGCGCCCACCAAGCTACATTGGAATTGGAGGACGTAGGCTTGCCTCCGAAACAGTGTAGTGTGCCCAAAAGATTGTGCAGAACATATGTTTGCTTCTTGTGGAGAACTTGCGTACCTTTAAACACAATTAAAGATCCGAACATTACAGAAATGTTAATTAAAGATCTGAACATTATAGAATGTTCTGTAGTGAGGAGCGAGAAAAAAAATTAAGTGATCTGCGACTGGCTGAAAATAGAAAGAGACAGGGACCATTTGTAACAATGAGCGTGCAAGTGAACAAGAACAGACCTCTAAAAAAAAATAGATTAAAGAAATTACTGGAGTGTGGCACTTTGGGAATGAGGGCTCACAGTGGACGTTAAAACAAGTTAGTGTTAAATGCCCGATTCTTATTACTTTTTGTGCGGGTCTGTTGGTGTGTAGCTGGAGAAGCTGAAGGTCAGCAAGAACAAGCAGCACTGCGCTCGGGATTCCAGTAAAGCGGACGAAGACAAGAAGGCGAACCAGGGCGGTCTGAAGAGAAAGCCCAGTGGGCAGGGTAAGAAGAGCCTTCAGCTTCTGAGAGACATGCAAAGTATACAGTCCTCCCTTCAGAAGGATGACGTCAGTTGGGACTGCTGACCTGTCTTCCCCGCGTGGTGGTTGGTTTTTGAGGGGTTTGTACCTTTTATTATTCTGGCTGCAGTGGCACAACCAGCTACCGTGCTGGATGAAAGACAATATCAGAGTGGCACCTTCTAAACAAAGGCTTCTCCTATTCTACCTGTATGCCTGATCATGTTACCCTGGTGAGGGGAGCTGGGGATGGGTAGAGAGAGAGAGAGAGAAAAAAAATAAGCCGCCCTTTATTATTTCATTGCTAAACCTCACATTGGTACCAGTGATGGTTATTCTGCTACAAAACGTAATCCTTGCCCTGCCGTTCTGCTTCTGACAGTTAATTATCCTCCTTGCTTGGGACAGCTTCCTTCTATGAGTGGAGAAAGTAGGTTTTTATTTTTATTTTTTTAAAAAAATTCATTCGGAGAGTTGAAGGTCCACAGGGAAAAAACATCAGAATTAAATTTGTTTTGCAGAATTTTTTTTGACTTTGCTTTATAAACACACAGTGACTTTTGAACGGAGCAACGGTATGGAGCCCTGTGTCACTTTCGACTCTTTTCAAGGTCTCGTAAGCAGCTTTTTCTTTTAAAAGAATCAGCTCTTCCTTCTCAGCATGGCCAACTCACGTTTTGATGTTTGAGCAAAGATGCTCCTGTTTTGAAATATGGAAATTATGCACAGAGGTGAGAAGGTTTTCTTTGGCATTCAATTAAACACCATTAAAAAACACCCCAAATTTTATATCCATTTTAGCCATGGAATTGACGTGATGTGGTTTCGGAACGAAACTGAATTGCCAAGTTAATTTTATCTCATTTCTACTGTTTTTCTGAAAAGCAGGAGATTAATATATATGTATTTTTGCCCCCCAAAATAAATGGTGCCTTCGATCATGCTGTTTAATACTGGCAGGCAGCTTTTTAAAAACGAATATTCCCTAGACTAGAAGATCTGGTGGTGGTTCTGGTACTAGGCAATTTTAATGTACACGCAACAATATTATTTATTATATTAATAATGTAAAGGCTTTCCGAAGTTTGGACTGTAGTAGTAACTCAAAATGGCTTGTGCTTTTTTGAGATCGTATTTGGACTGCAATAAAGGCAAATGGAATAAATTACTTGCGAAAGCCAGTTGGCTCTTTTGATCTCCGTGAACGGCTGGACTCCAGGAACAGATCTGTGCAATCCACACACAAAGCAGGTGTAGGTAGCATCATTAGTTGACATTTTGCCTTGGTGACAGATGGCCCATTGCTGGCTGAAATGAGAATGGACACCTGGCAAACTAGCTGGTGGGCGCGCAGCCTCTTTCCCTCTCCCGCTGAAGCAGAAGGAGGAGCAGGCCTACTCAACGCCAGTCTTAATCCCTCGCTTTCTTTTTTGCAAACAGAGACCAAATAGAAGGAACTAGATAGAATAATCCTTTGTCCGGCTCGAAGCAAAACATAATACAAGGGGTCAAGATTGAAAACTGGCAAACTGGGAGGTGGGCAGTGACTTTTGGGTCGATATCCTGATTCTGCTTTAGGCTGCAATAAAAGGAGAAGTATAAAAGGGGCTGGTGTTAGATCTGCCCTACGAAAATTTCGCCTAACCTTCTTTGTCGTTGAGTCGGAGACCCCCGAAGGCACGCTCTCTTTTCGCCCTTCCTTTCTCGTTATCGTTATCGTCAATCTGGTCCCCATCAGTTGGACCCGAGAAAATACTGAGCACCTGAAGTTGAGGGTCTTAAGGACTCGGTCGATTCGACCGAGTCCTTAAGACCCTCAACTAGTCCACGAGTCATAAAAGAGCCCAGGTTGACTACCCCTGAGTTAGACTTATATCCTGCTCTGTAATCCTTTAACAGCACTCTCTGAGCCGTTTACAAAGTCCCCATATTGCCCCCAACAATTTGGGTCCTCGCTTTACCGACCGCGGAAGGATGGAAGGCTAAGTCAACCTTGAGCCGGTCAGGATCGAACTCCTAGCGGTGGGCAGAGTTAGCCTGCAATACAGGTAGTTCTTGACTTTGCGACCTCAAACTGAGCCCAAAATTTCTGTTGCTAAGTGAGACGTCGGTTAAGTGAGTTTTGCCCCATCTTACGACCTTTCTTGCCACAGTTGTTAAGTGAATGACTTGCAGGGGTTAAGTTAGTAACGTGTTTATTAAGTGAATCCGGGTTCCCCCATTGACTTTGCTTGTTAGAAAGTTATGAAAGGTGATCGCGTGACCCCAGGGACACGGCAACCGTCATAAATACGAGTCAGTTGCCAAGCGCCTGAATTTTGATCACGTGATGCTGCAACAGTAATAAGTGTGAAAAATGATCATATGTCAGATTCACTTAACAACCGTGTTGTTAACAACCGCAGTGATTCATTTAACAACTGGCAAGAAAGGTCGTAAAATGGAGCAAAACTCACTTAACTGTCTCACTCAGCAACAGAAACCTTGGACTCAATTATGGCTGTAAGTCGAGGACTACTTGTACGGCACTCTAACCATTGTGCCGCCAGGCTTCTGCTTTAAGAATCACATCGATGGCTGAGCCTCCCTGAAGTAGATGCAGTCTATGTTCTTCCCAAGTTTCATAAAAAAAAAAAAAGCTGAGCTGTTTTAAGGAGTGGGAAGCGTTTGAGGCGTGGAGCACTTTTCCACATCATTTTCAAGACTAGTCCAAATACATAGCTAAGTACATACATATAAATTATTTGAAAGAAGGAATTGGGTTAACAATGGACACACAATGTTTTTGATTGCAGTAGCCTGAAAGGCAGCAGTTTGGAAAAGGAACACTTCTCTGTCAGGGAGATGGTGTGAGAGCAGAGTACTCACATTAATAACACACTTTTAGGTTTCTTTTCCAAATACACAAACAGGATAATAAAAATGATTACTCTGCCTCTAATCCGTGAGCGGAGTACATGGTGGCCCATACAGACGTGTCACTTGTACAATTATTCTTCCTGCTTTAGATGTCTTGGACTACAAATCCCATTCCCCATCACTCATGCTAATGTGAGAATTGTAGTTGGTTTTAGACCATCTGAAATTGGGGGAGCTTTTTGTGCTAGCTGACTGCTCCCCTTGGCATACTTGGAACAAGACGCTGAAGCATCCACAAGTCATAAAAGGGCCAAGTTTGAAGACCCCTGGTTTAGACATAGAGTTATGGATGATGGTTTTTAAGTTCTATGGAAATCTGTTCTTAAATGTTCAGTACTGTTTTGTCGCAAACAGGTGAAATACAGTATGCCATCAAGCAAGTAAGTGGGATTTTACTCTTCGATTTATAACATCTCTTTCCTCAAGACAATCCATGGCTAATAATCATGTTTCAGACAAATATAGGAAAGCTATCACCAAGTTAATACAGTTAAGGGGTTTTGAGAAGGCTTGGCTTTACCTTGGTGGAAATGCTGGGATAGATTGTATGTCATCAACTACTCTGGTGAGGATTCAGATTGGATTTCCTGGAATATTAGATACATTTGTCCTTATAGAAGCAGTGCTCCCCATCCAAAGCCTACAGATCCAAAGCCTACAGGCCACCAGAAACAGCTCAATACTGTCCCACTCTGTCATGACTTCACAAAAAAAAAACTACGCACTTTGACAAAAAGGAGGAGTTGTATTGTACTTTGTAAGTTTGGCACATCCTTGTAAATTCCTGCTAGGTCCTGCATTTCAAAGGAGCAACTGTTAAAGTCCAGTTTAATATACAAAAAGCTTGTACAATGTAGCTGGAAAACATACAAGATGCTCGGGCTACACACCTATTAAATCCTGCCTGTTGGCAATGCTGGATGAGACTGCTGGGAGTTGTAGTACAGATACCATACACTTGATCTTAGCCAAACCCCCCTCCCCCGAAACAATAAGAGGTTGTATGAATGCAACTTGAAAGGAAGATGGAGGCAAGGATGGTGTGGGAACTATAAATCAATGTTGCCTTGCGTGGCACCATGTGTAAGTAGGATTATAATTCCCAGCGTTGCCTTTGCAGGGGTAGTCAACCTTGGCTCTTTTATGACTCGTGGACTTCAACTCCCAGAATTCCTGAGCCAGCCATGCTGAGGGGAAAGGGAGAGGTTTCCATGCTGAGCCATGCTGGCTGAGGAATTCTGGGAGTTGAAGTCCACAATTCATGAAGGGGCCATAGTTCCCCCATGCTGGCTGAGGAATTCTGGGAGTTGAAGTCCACAATTCATGAAGGGGCCATAGTTCCCCCATGCTGGCTGAGGAATTCTGGGAGTTGAAGTCCACAATTCATGAAGGGGCCATAGTTCCCCCATGCTGG